GCCCTTGGGGAGGCAGAAGCCTGCGGCCAGCTGTAGCAGCTCCTCACCGCCGTGGAGGATGGTGCGGGGAGGTCCAGGGCTCAGAGCAGGAGGCAGAGCGGGCAGCTTGGCAGTCACCCTGGAGGAGGCCCCATGAGCCGCCTGGCACCCCTGCCCCCAGCCCAGCAAGGCCAGGGAGGCAGGGTGGTGCTCACGCATCCCTGCCCTGGGCTCTGTCTGCCTGTGGCGTCTGAGGTGGGTTTGCAGGAGGGGAGCTGCCCCTGGCCCTGGTCCCTGAGTAATGCTAGTGTTGGCAGAGTGGGGTGTCAGGACCAGGCGCTGGGAAGCCCAGGGCCCCCTGCCCGGCCTGTGGGTCTGACTCTGTGGGCCAGGACGACAGGTCCACCTCTCAGGCCCAACTACTCCCCAGGGGGGACCCGGAGGTGACCCTGGGGGCAGCCGGGCCAGGCCAGCAGAGCCTCTCAACGCCTCAGGGGCCCCAGCGTCCCTCGCTGCCCTGTGTGGTGTCTCTCCCTGGCGCAGGCCCCGCAGCTGGGGAAGGACTGGACACGCCTGGCTCAGCCTCTGCGGGCACCCTGGGGTCCCAGGGTGAAGGGCTGTGGAAGGGGCTACAGAGGACAGTGGGGCTGAGGGGGTCTGTCTGGGAGCACGAGGGGCCTGGGGGGCTTCGGGGCAGCGTGTGGTGAGAGCGCAGGGGCACCATGACGGCTGGATAGCAGGGCTGCCCGCCCCGGGCGCTGGAGTGGGACTGCGCGCCCTGGACGTGTGCCCTCTGGCCACCGGGCCCCTGGGCTGAGAGGCGGTCATAGATGGAGCAGGGGTCCAGAGCCTGGAGGGCGTCTGGTGCTCTGGTCGTCTGACCGGAGGACTCCGGGCTCCGCTGCCTGGGTGTGCTGGCTCCTTTCTGGAAACAGAGCGGTCGTCCCTGGGCCCCTCGGCCCCCGTCCTTCCAGGGTAGGAGGCGGGAGGGCCTGGGGTGCAGCACGAGCCAGAGGCCGCGGGCGGGCAGGCAGGCAGCGTGGCCACAGGATCCTCCTCAGCGTTTCCAGGCCCGCTGCTCCCCTGGGCCCAGCTGTGTCCCCCCGACTCCGTCCCTGGAGCGGGAACAGGAGCCTGTGTGGGCACAGCAGGGGGCCTGTCCCCCGCCCCGGGCACATCCGGGCCCCGAGGGTGGGCTGCTGGGCGCTCCCACCAGCCCCCTCCCCGCTCAGCCACTCAGCTGAGTGAAGGACACCGCGGGGCGGGGTGGCAGGAGGTGGGGTGCGGGTGGGTGAGCAGGCAGGTCTCGGGGCCACAGAGCGCTTCCTGGAATGATGGAGGTGGCTGCTGCAGGGGCTGCTCCGGGGGGAGTCCCCGGTGGCCCAGGGGGTCCCTGCCGCAGCCCAGTAGGTGAAGGCGGGAGGCGGGTTCCCTGGCGCCCAGCGCTTCTCACCTGAGGAGGCGGGTGGCAGAGCCGCTGGGGCTATGTGCCTGTCCCCTGCCCTCCGCCCTCACGGGTCGGGTCAGGGCCTTGGCTCTCCCTGCCCCGCAACCACTTCCGCGGCAGTCCCCATCTGCTAGGCTGGTGGTCAGTGTGCAGAGATGAGTCACGGGTCACATCCGAGGGCCTGCGGCGGCGGCAGGGTGAGCCTCACACAGGACAAGTCTCGAGTGGACGGCGTCTCATGTCAAAGAGCCGCACCCAGGCAGCCAGCCCCACGCCCACGTCCCGGGGCTGAGGGGCCAGCTCACCACCCACCTGCTGCAGACCCTTCCCCACTGCACACCACTTCTCCGTTTTTATAAACTTGTTTCATGGAAAAGTTCAACTGTATATTGAACTACGGAGTCTAGTACAGAGACGCTGAGGCCGCCTGGTCTTACAGCAAAGTCCCGTCCCCTGTGTCACCTCAGCCGGTGACTCCTGGGTGAGCGCCCAGCAGGCAGGAGTCCAGCCAGGGCACCATGATGGGCCCGAGGACAGAAGCCGGCCCCTGGCCCCTGCCCACGCTGGCTGATCCCCAGGTGGCTCTCGGCAGCCCAGAACTGCAGGGTCCCTCGGGGGCTGGGGCAGAGCTGGGCTCATCCAACTGCCCCTTTACGAGGGACCAGCCTGCAGGGAGACGGAGGGCGCGAGTCCAGGAAGAAACAGCGGATGGGGGGCGGAGTCCCAGACCCCCAGAGAGATGTGCCTGGAGGTGGAGTGGCCGTGGTGGGGGTGGCCCAGGGAGGGGAGGCGAGTGGGCAGCCTGGCCAGGAAGGGTCCAGTGCCCTCCCTCTCCTGCCCTCCTCTGGGACCCTGAGGCTGGTCTGGCGGCTCAGGGGACACCTGAGCCCAGGGTCTGTGGACAGCGTCGGGGGGGAGGGAGTGGGGAGCAGACCGCCCAGTTGAACACGGCCTGCGGTCTTCAGGTCTGGGGTGGAGTTCAAGGGTGTTTCCTCAAGATGGGGCCTCATTTTCCTGTGAGGTGGGGGGGAGGATGGCCCTCGGGCTGAGCGGTGAGCCTGGGGTGGGGGGAGGATGGCCCCCCAGGGGTGAGTGGTGAGCCCAGGGTGGAGTGAGGATGGGCCCCCAGGGGTGAGTGGTGAGCCTGGGGTGGGGTGATGATGGCCCCCCAGGGGTGAGCGGTGAGCCCGGGGAGGGGTTAGGATGGCCCCCAAGGGTGAGCAGTGAGCCTGGGGTGAGGGGAGCTGTGAGGCCCACGGTGGGATGACCTGCAGATCCACCCCCTCCTCCCCTTCCCCTGGCAGCGTCCCCATCCCCGTCAATTTCCCAGGTGTCCCCCCTTCCTCCCACCCCCGCGTGGTGTCCCATAGTCACCCCTGCCTTGCCCGCTACAGTGACAGCATGGCAAATAACAGGCCCCGGGCAGGTTTGGGGCCAGACCAGTGGCGGGGTGGGGGTGGAGGGGTTGTTTCCCAGACCTGGTTTTGAGAAGAGGGGAACAGAAAGTGCTGGCAGCGACAGAAGGCTGAGCCCAAGGCCCAGAGGCCCTGCCCCCGGGGTGTCCTTGGTCCCCTCCCTAGGTGCCTGGGGCAGGGCTGGGGCTGGGCGAGGCTAGTGAGGTGCTGCCCCCACCCCCCCACCCCCATATCTAAGGGCCCGCGGTCAGTAATCAGAGTAAACTGTCCTCCCTGCACTATACCGGAGATAAGGCAAGGTCCAGGAAGAACGAAGAAGCAGTGTTCGTGTTAGACCAGCACTCCTTTGCCTCAGGCTGGGGGGCGGCAGTGACAGGAGCCCCTGCGCCCACACCAGTGGCCACATCTCCCCACGGACAGCGCTACTCCCCTCCGCCCAGCTGCGCCCAGATTGTGAAAGGCTGGCCTGCCCCGCCTCCAGCCTCCCCTTCCAGCGCGGAGACACCACGGCTCCCGCCCTTCCATCTTCCAGGAAGCCCCTCCCCACTCCGCCCCGCCCACCTCCCAGGTCCAGCTTCAGGGCTGCCTTCTTCTGGAAGCGTCCTGGTCCTGACCTGCCCTCCGTGAACCCCACGAGGTAAGTGTAGGCTCCCCCTGTGCCAGGCGCATCCCCCTGGGCCATCTCCCCACTGCCCTGCCAGCCGTGTCCAGCGTGGTGCCCACGAGTGAGGCGGCTGGGGCGGGCATGGAAGGGGCAGACCAGCGTAGAGCAAGACCAGGATGGGCGCAGAGTCACGGAGCCCTGGGGGGGACCGCTGGGGGGTCAAGGCCCTCGGCCAGTGGCCGCACTGCGCAGCTCGTGACATCCCACCTGGGTGTCCTCGGGTCCTTCGCCCTCGTTCTGGGTCAGTCCTGAGTCCCCCGCTCTCAGGGCTTTGTTCCCTCCTGGCCCCCAATGGTGGGGACATCACTCCCACTCCAGATGAGGAGGCCTGGGGTGGGGGTGGTGGAGGACAGTGGGTCCCGGAGGCAGTGAGGTTCTGGGGGGTGAGGATGGGATGGGGATGGGGGCTCTGGGCACGCCCGGCAGCCTCCTTGGGAGCGACTCTGCCTCCCGGGCACTTCCCTGGAAGAGGTTGCATCTGGACAAGGCAGTGATGCCAACCTCCAATCTCAGGAGCATGTCCCCCCGCTGCAGCGTTGCTGGCAGTCTTTTCTCTCAAACTCCAACCATTGCGAGGGGTGAAGGGCCAGGACACGGGGGAAGGAGGAGCCCCCTGCGGTCAGTCCGGCACTAGGACTCCTGCCCCCGTCAGGCTGCCACCACGGCTCTCGGGCAGGTGTGAAGCAGAAGAGGCAGGTGCTGGGACCAGGGGCGCTGAGCAGTGAGGGTGGGGGGCCTCGGAGACGGAGCTCTGTCTGAGCCCGAGTCCTGAAGAGGCAGCGGGGCCACGGGCCCTGCCCTGTCCTGCTCTGCGGAGGGTGCCTTAGGGTTCTCGGCCCGCCCGGCAGTGGGAATGGGTCTCATCTGGATTCTGGAGCCCGCCTGGTGGGGCCAGGCCTCTTGGACCCCCGGGGACCCAGTGGACCTGGAGGAAAGGACCCAGCCCTGCCCTCCCTCCACAGTGGGGGGATGGTGAGTCGGCTACAGGCCTGTGGGCTGGGGCGGCGGGGGGGCTGCACCCCACTCCAGGCTGCAGCCACTCATGTTTACACGCGCCTGCTCTGGGCCAAGACTCTGCTTGTTTCCGGGCTCTGGCCACCCAGTTGGATTCCTCCATTGGGCCCTGCTGACCCGTGAATGGGACTTGTTGAGGCCCTTCTGTGCAGGAGCAGGTGGGGTCCCAGCCACAGGCCAGGACAAGGACACGAGAAAAATTCAGAAGTTCTACGGCTGAACGCCAGGTTGCAGAGGGGCGCACAGGGCTGCGGAGGCTGGGGGCTGGTGGGGAGGGGATGGTCAGAGAGGAGGGACGCCAGGGGAGGAGCCCACAGTGGGACCCTCCAGCCTGGTCTGCAGGGTGAGCCCAGGCCCCTCCTCAGGGCACGGTACCTGGTTCCCAAGTCAGGAGGCCAGCCAGGCCCCTTCATGGAGCCCCAGGTTCTGCCTGTGGAAACGGGCAGGGTGGTGTCGAACTCGCCCCAGCCCCTCGCAGGCCATGCCGGGAGAGGTGCTGAGGTCCGGTGCAGAGGACCCAGGCCCAGGGGACAAGGCGCTGCCCTCAGGTGCAGGGGGAGGGCAGAGCAGTCCCTTTGAGCAGGATCTGGGGCCCTGAGCTCAGAGGGGAGGGAATGGAACTCCAGAGGGCCTGGAGAAGCGGTGGAGAGAACATTCTAGAAGGGGAGCAGGTGGTCTGCAAGGACGGCTTCTGAGGAGGGGCAGTGAGGAGGCTAGCTGGTGGAGGGGCGGGGGGAGTGGGGCCCTGGTGCAGAGCAGCAGGAAGCCCACCTGGAGTGGGCTGTGCCGGGATGCTCTGCGTGCGAAGGTGCAGGGCCTTCCTGCCAGGATGCGGGGGTGGGTGGGGACACTGACCGCAGACACGCGGCCCCGCCCAGGAGATGACAGGAAGGTGCCTCTGCACCGCGGGAAGTCTGGACCACCGGCTCCGCTGTCTCCAGAAAGACCACTGCTTCTCTGGGCTGTCAACAGAGGTGGCTGCTGGAACCCCACTTCCTCCCCCAGGAATCTCCCAGGCAGCCCAGGTCTGGGCCGGCACAGGCAGTGGGGAGTCCCATGCGCTGTCAGTGTCGTCAGCCCGCCCACTGCCTGCCGGCGTTAAGGAGGGGTGCAGTCAGGACAGTGTGGGGGCCCGGCTCACCCAGCCCTGCTTCCCTACCAGCCCTTCGGCAGCACCTGTCGAGGCGTCAGCAGCTCAGGAGGGAACCAGTGGGTCAGGTCAGTGCCCGCAGGGCCCGGGGGTCTCAGAGGGTGAGGGTGAGGGGGCCTCAGAGGTGAGGGCTGTGACGGGGTCTCAGAGGGGTGAGGGCTGTGACAGGGTCTCAGAGGGTGAGAGTGAGGGGGTCTCAGAGGTGAGGGCTGTGACGGGGTCTCAGAGGGTGAGGGTGAGGGGGCCTCAGAGGTGAGGGCTGTGACGGGGTCTCAGAGGGGTGAGGGCTGTGATGGGGTCTCAGAGGGTGAGAATGAGGGGGTCTCAGAGGTGAGGGCTGTGACTGAGTCTCAGAGGTGAGGGCTGTGACACGTTCTCAGAGGGTGAGGGCTGTGACGGGTCTCAGAGGGTGAGGGTGAGGGTGTCTCAGAGGTGAAGGCCGTGACAAGGTCTCAGAGGTGAGGGCCGTGGCCCATTCTCAGAGAGGTGAGGGCCGTGACGGAGTCTCAGAGGGTGAGGGTGACGGGGTCTCAGCAGGTGAAGGCTGTGCCGGGGTTCTGAACCTCAGCAGGGTAACCTGTAGGAACAGCCCTGTGGGGGCTGATGATCTGGCACCGGGATGTCACTCGTGGGCCGGAATGCAGAGGAACTTAGGGTGATCCTGGGACCTGGGCTCCCCTCACTCGAGCCTCTGAAGTCTCTCATGGGCTGAGACCAGCATCTGAAGCTAGGAGAGAAGGGGTCTGAGGGGGCCCTAGCACAGCGAACGCGACTTTGTGAAACTCGTCCCGGGCCCTGGGCTATTTCTAAGTTGGGGTCCCAGCTCCAGAGGACCCCTTGGCACCCGGACAACAGGGGTCAGCACTCCACTCTCTACCCCAGATCCCACTTAGGGCGTGGGACTGACAAAGGCACCTCTGCCGCACCGAGGGTGGCTTCCCGCCCGCTGTGGGAGCAGGAAGCGCAGCCTCTGGGGTGCTGCCCCCCGCCTGCGGCTGCCTCCCCCAGCAGGAAGTGGTGGTGCCCCCACAGCTGAGTGGTCTGAGCCCCGGCCGCCCCCCACCCCTGCCCAGGGGCCCCATGCCTTCGCCTGGGGCAGGCAGGACCTGAGTGGGTTGCCATGGCTTCTGGGGACCCCATGCTGTTTGAGCTGGACCTTGGGACTTGAGCCCCCAAACCTTTTTCACCCCAAGGGAGAGGCCCCATGAACAGGGCATTTCCTCCAAGTGTCAGGTGCACCCTGATAATCTTGCAGAAATGCTGTCCTTCTCCCTGACAGCCATTATAAAAGGGGAAATGTAAAGAGGGCAGCTAGATTTTTTAACTTTCCCTCTTCAAATATTGGGCCACACGAGGCTGGACTGAAGCTGACACCCCCATGAGTGTGGAGCAGGACCAGCCCCGAGACAGCCGTCCGGGTAGAGGGCATGCAGTGAGGGGCAGGCCTGCCCCCCTGCTGTCCCGGGCAGCGCCCTGGGCTGCGATAACCATCCGCTGCTGCAGGCCTCGCTGCCCAGAGTAGCGAGGGGTCGTCCCGGACGCCGCCTGGGTGGGGAGACGGCCCGGAGGCGCGCGTGGCAGGATCACCGGGTGCTCCCAGCAGGCTCGAGCGTTCTGGGCTGGGGGTAGGCAGGCAGGCAGGGAGGACCCCAGCAGTTGTCTCGGTGGGTTCTGGAGTCTGGGGAGCCTGCCTGCGTGGGCCTGTGGTCACAGACCAAGGAGGCAACAAGCGGAATCCTTCAAACATGAGGAGAGAGGTTTCACACACAGTGGAAGCATTCGTGAAACTTGAATTGCTGGCAAATGGGCACTTAAAATTCAGAAGGGATTTAACAGGATAATTGGGCAGAATATTTCCGCTCCTACTCTCTGCGGTCTGTGCGCCAGCTCCCCTAATGGACTGTGGCCTGGACATTCCCAGGGGGCTGTGGCTCAGGAAATGAGTGCCCCACTTGCAACCCTGGCACCCATGAGCCTGATACTGCCGCCTCTGGGTGCTTCTCCCCTTCCTGTGTGTGAGGGGGACAGGGGGAGCAGACTCCACCCCGCCTGGCCATGATGCTCCCCCCCCAAGGTGCTTCTCCCCTTCCTGTGTGTGAGGGGGGACAGGGGAGCAGACTCCACCCCGCCTGGCCATGATGCTCCCCCCCCAATGGACTGAACCCCCTTCTCAACCTCGCCTGAAGGTCAGGGAGCCCCCAGGGGGCCAGGTGCTCATGGAGGGAGGAAGGCTTCTCCCCCCACCCTTCCAGGCCCTTCCAGCCAGAGGAACCAAATGGGGGTGGGAGGGGTCCGGAGGGTGCCTGTCACTCGCACAGGCGTGCTCCACAGTCCCACACATCTGACACCCATGCCTCTGGGTGCTGCCCAGCTCAGGGGGCCACACCAGGAACGTCAAACCGCTGACCAAGTCCATCCCCACCCTGGTGAGCTGGTCCTGGCAGTCCTGGGCTGTCATGGAGCGTGTGCAGGGGAGCGAGAGGTGTGGAGGGTGAGGCTGTGTAGGGGCTTCTGACGATGACCGGGTGGAGGTCACCCAGCAACACCCTGAGGCCACCAGAACCACAGGGCGGCCCTGACCACAGGAAACTCAAGGGGACTGCTGAGCCAGATGGGGCGTCAGGCGAGTCTAGGTCAGCCTGAGGGCAGCTGGGGAGGCTCTTGGAGGGGAGGAGGGAGGAAGGCTGGGAACCGGGCACCCAACCACCATCCCCTCAGCAAGAGGACAAAGCACAGGAGGGAGAGAGGGGCTGGGCTTTTCGGGAGGGCTGAGCCGCGGCCCCTACTGCCCTGGACCTCAGTAGCCAGGAAGGGCCCGGTCGGGAGATGCCCGCCCTGCTGAGGAGCAGGAGTGCGTCGGACGCGGGTGCCTCCTGCAGCCAGGTTTGCGGAGGAGGTGGAGGGGGGCAGTGAGCTGCCCTGGGACCCCACAGGCCCTTCAGTCTACCAGCTTTCAGACTCCAGGGCTCCCTGGGGTCCCTGTCTTGCAGTTGCCTCTGAACCCCCCTGGTGAGAATGGCACTGGGCTGGCGCGAGGCTGGCCACCCCTGGGTCCCCGTCCTGAGATTGGGTGGAGTCGGCATGGCTGGGGCTGGAGGTGGACCGTGCACTCCCTCTGTCTCTCTGCCCAGCAGCCAGCAGGTCCCTGCAGAGGCAGGCTCAGGCACGGGGACCTGGGTCCAGCCCTGGGCTGGCTCCCCAAGCCATCTCAGGCCCAAGGGCCTCTGAAGGCCTTGGTTTCCCACAGGTGCCTCGGGGCTTCTTGGGGTGTCTTCCTTGGGCAGGTGAACTTGGGGCTCCTGAGGTGGTGGGGGGCCTGGGGTCCCCCTGCTGGCCTACCCACCTCACACCCTGCTCCCCCTCTGCAGCCCCGGGATCATGAATAACAGCAACTGCAGCTCCTGGGAGTCCCCAGCGGTTGAGCAAGTCTTTCTCACCTACACGGGCGGACTCCTGGCGCTTGGCCTGCTGCTCAACGGCCTGGCGCTCTGGGTGTTATGCTGGCGCCTGCCGCGCTGGACGGAGACCCGCATCTACATGGCCAACCTGGCTGTGGCCGACCTCTGCCTGCTCTGTGCCCTGCCCTTCTTCCTGCGCTTCCGGAAGACCTCTCAGGACACGCCGCTCTGCCAGCTCTCCCAGGCCGCCTTCCTGCTCAACAGGTACATGAGCATCAGCCTGGTCATGGCCATCGCCGTGGACCGCTACTTGGCCGTGCGGCACCCCCTGCACGCCCGCGGGCTCCGCTCTCCGGGCCAGGCTGCGGCCGTGTGCGCCGCGCTCTGGGTGGTGGTCCTCGGCTCCCTGGCGCTCCACTGGTTCCTGGACGTGCAGGACGGTGGCTTCTGCTTCGCCGTCCGCTCCAGGCGGAACACCTACACCGCGGTCTTCCCACTGCTGGGCTTCTACCTGCCGCTGGCCGTGCTGGTCTTCTGCTCTCTGCAGGTGGTGACCGCCCTGACCCAGAGGCCCGAGGCTAACCCGGGCCAGGCGGAAGCCACACGGAAAGCCTCTCGCATGGTCCTGGCGAACCTGGTTATCTTCGTGGTCTGCTTTCTGCCCTTCCACATGGTGCTGACCATGCGCGTGGCCCTGGGCCTGGAGACCTGTGCCATTAAGATGGCCATCAAGATCACTAGCAGACTCTCAGATGCCAACTGCTGCCTGGACGCCATCTGCTACTACTTCATGGCCAAGGAGTTCCAGGAGGCGTCTGTGTCAACCACATCCCCCAGAGTCAAGGCCCACAAGAGCAAGGACACTCTGACTGTGACCCTGACCTAGGAGATGAGCCATGGGCCCCCCTGCTGGGGGGACCAGTGACCAGAGACAAGGAGCCCCACGATCTGCCCTGAACTCGCTGTGGGCCGTGGGCTGGGGGCACTCTCAGGAGGCTCAACTCAGCAGGACAACCTGGGCATGGAGCCTGGGGAGGCAACACCCCCACCCCTGGGGCAGAAGCGGAACAATGATGAGGACAGGAGGCCTGGGGCCTGAGCAGGGCCAAGCCCAGGGACCCTGCTGCGTCCAGAGCCTGGCACACTTGGGGCACCGGGAGGTGGGTGTCTGCCGGGTGCCTGAGGCTCTGATGGCCAGCCTTCTGCTACTGCCCCACAGGGGCCAGAATAAAGCTCTCCACTGGGGCTCTGTGCCACCCACGGCCGCGTAGTGGGAGGTGGAGCGCCTGCGGTGTCTTCCAGGTGGCTTTCTAGGGCTTTCCACTTGGGGGCTCTCCATGGGCCCTGCCAGCTGTTTCCCACCCTGGCCCACTCCTCATTATCTTGGCGGCTGCCGCCAGGGAGGGCTGGTCCTCAGCTGCCTTGTCGGCCCCAGGCCCGGCCCAGGCCCGAGTGTGGGCAGCTGGCCCTGAGCTCCTAGTCCAGGTGTAGGGAGAGGTGGGGACAGTTAACTTCTGTGTCGGCAGGGGACACGGGCGTCCACAAGGGCCAGACGTGGAGTCCCAGGAGCCATCTGGGGCCTCAGCCTGGGTGTTAGGAGCTGCTGTAGACAGAGACAGTCTCTGGGACAGAGAAAAGTGAGAGATGGGAGAGAAGGAGAGACAGATGGGGAGGAAGCAAGAGAGAATGGGGGTGAGGGAGCAGGCTTGGGTAGTTTGGAGGAAAGAAAGCGGGGACAGTGACAGGGACAGGACGAGAGAGGAAGATGGTTAGCAGAGCGAGACAGAAGGAGCCTCCGAGGAGCCGAGCAGGGAGCACGAGGGCAGAGCCGGGAGGAGGGGCGGAGAGACTGACAGACAGACGATGGCTCAGCCTGCTCTCCCCCAGGCCCAGGTCCCCTCTGCTCTCCTGCCACCCGGGAACCCCAAGGGCCAGCCTGGGACCCCTTCTGGCCCCTCAGAGCATCCCCAAGAGTGGGTGGAGGTCAGGGGTTCTTGAGGAAGGACCAGAACCAGCTCTTCCAGCCAGAGGAGTTTGGGACCGCACACCCACGGACACAGGAGGAAGGACCTTCCAGGAGTCACGTGGTCTGGGGCAGATGGGGTAACAGGGTGGAAGGGTGGACCGGCAAAGTCCTGAGCTGATCTGATGAAGCCTTGGGTGGAGGGGCTCAGAAAAGGGCCCCACAGACCCCCAGGCTGCTCCAGGGCTGGGGCCCCTCATCCCACTGGGCAGGGGAGGTGGCAGGTCCACAGTCTGGAGGGGCCCTTGGTGGAACCCTTGGTGGAGGTGGGGGAGGGGGAGATAAAGATGGAGGTGGGGGAGGGTTAGAGAAAGGGGAGGGGGAGAGGAAGATGGCGTAGTGGGAGAGGATGATGGGGGAAAGGGGAGAGGAAGATGGGGGAGGGGGAGAAAGATGGAGGTGGGCGAGGGGAGAGAAAGATGGAAGGGGAAGGGGGAGCGGAAGATGGAGGGGAGGGGGAGAGAACGGCACAGCCTGCCTCTGTGGTCCAGGTGAAGTCCACCCAGCAGGGCGCCCTGGCCCTGAGCCCGCTGAGGCTTCCACATTGTCCCACCCCCTCCCAGGCTGTCGACCTCTGTGTCTGTGGCTGCCGCCTGGGGAATGACCACAGTGGCCGCAGTGTGGGCAGCGATGTCCTATCGCAGGTGGTGACCAGTGTCTCTGTCTACCTCCCTGCGGCTCTGGGTCTGCCGTGATGGCGTAGGTGGACAGAAACCTGCATCCTGTGGTCAACCAGGCAGCAGCCACCGCCCACTGCTGCTGAGCTGGCTGCATCCTGTCTGAGAGGTGAGGCAGTCAGGCCCACAGGGCCCCCAGCAAGGGGTCCTGCAGAGCGTCCACTAGGCCAACACCTGCAGGAGCAGGTGCGTCATCAGCAAGGCTTGAGAGGAAGCTCCGGGACCCTGCCCCGCCCAGACTTCCATGGATCTCAGGACGTGTCCACTCCACCGGGGCAGAGGGCCTGGCGGGGAATCGAGGGGCTGGATCAGCACCAGCACAAACCTGCATCGTGAAGTCAGGGCAGGAGACCACCCGGGGGCTCCTGCTGGGCCAGGGCAGCGGGGCGGCTGCTCCTGAGAGCCTCCGGGGGCCAGGCCCCACCTCAGCCTCCCAGGACACAGAGGGAGATTTGTTTGGGCAGAATGAGGGCGGACAGGCTTCGGGCAGGGCAGAGCCCCAGGCCAAACCCACCTTCCTGCCGGGCCACCAGCCCCGACCTGAGGGAGATCGACGTCCTGGCTGTGACACAGTGCAGCAGGGCCCTGGACCCACACGGTGGTCAGCGTGGCTGGTGGGAACCCCCTTCTGCCCATGCAGGTGCCCCACCCACGGCCTGGCCTAGGGTCTTCTCCTGCCAGGAGGCACAGGCCTACCCATCACCCACCGCACCTCTAGCACCAGGCATGCTGTTCTGGGGCCAGGCACAGGGGTGCTTCGAATGGCCCACTAGAGAAGCCGTTTATGTAGCCAAGGCTGCTGGCGGCATCAGTGCCCTTGACCACGGCTCCGGTGCCAGGGAGATCAAGCCCAGCCATCCTGTTTGTGGCTCAAGCACAGAGCTTCTCATCAGGCCAAGAGCACGGTCACAGCCCCTGCCCCCATTTCCTCTTGGGGCTCTCTGCTGGCCAGAGCAGCAGCTGGCTGGCAGGAGGAGGTGGGGCCCTCGCCCTCCATGCCCCCAAACCCCGGAAACTGCAGAGGACAACATCTGCCCCACCAGGTTCAACCCTGACCACCGGTCCCTTGGGAAGGGGCTCCTGTAGGGGGACACTGCCTTCGAAGACAACCTTGAGCTGCAAGTGACCCGGGAGGGCCAGACCCTCTGCCTGCCCGTCCCTGTGCACTCTGTGTGCAGTGAAAAGCATCCCGGCAGAGCCGGTCCAGCCACCCTCCCCAGCTGGTGCTGCCCTCTTCCCTCAGCCACGGAGGCCCAGCTCTGACTCCGGAGGATGTGTGCTGCTGGCCGTGGGCACCTCGCCTCACAGAGGCCCAGGGACAGACGAGGCCCAGGGCTCAGGCTGGTGGCACAGTCACTGGAGGCGGGTGGGCTTGTTGGCCTGCTGCGTCCTCACCCCTGCCTCAGAGACCCCCAGAGTCACCTTTCAGGGCTGGTCCCCTTGGAGAATCAGGAGCAAGAGACCAGGCCCTCCCACCGGGTCCAGAGACCACTGCTCCCTGGAGGCAACACTGGGGCTCAGCAGGCGGTGGGGGCCTGGGTGTCAGACTACGCAGAGGGGAGGGGCCGCTGGCCACGCAGGGAGCTGGCTAGAGCCTCTGTCTGGCTCTGAGGATGCATCCTGAGGGTGGACACAAGCCCATGGAGCTGACTTGTTTATCAGCATGCACAGATAAAACCTGCCCTGTGCCTGGCACTGGACCCTGAAATGTGCACCCAGAGCCTCACAAGGCTGCACTCTGGGGTCCCCCATGGAGGAATGGAGAGGAGAGAGGCTGGGGGGAAGTGGGCCAGATAAGATGGCAGGGCTGAGAAGGGGCTGCTCTGAAGGTGGGGAAGGCTGTGCATCAGAGGAGTGGGAGGCGCCCTGCACGTGGGCCCCGCCTTGTGCTGTTGGCTGGACGCTGGGTGAGGGTCAGGACAGGGAGCCACTCTGGGGTGCCCAGGGGGGACATGATCAAGGCCAGGGTGGGGCGGGGGACGTCGGGACAACAATGGCAGGTGTAGGCCAGGATGGGGACTCCGAACGTGATGAGGGGTGACAACGGGACTCCGAGGGACACTGAAGGGGTGTGGCTAAGGAGGAAGCAAGAGGGCCTCCAACAGAGAGGGTGCCCAGGTTCCAGTGTGGAGAGGTGTGAGGGCCAGAAGGAAGCAAGGAGACCCGGCAGCAAGGAGGCGGATGCAACTGAGTGACCCTGTAACCAGGAGGGTGCTCTCTGGAGAACAGGGCGGCGGGACTGCCTGAGCGATCACGCTGTGTCCTGTCTCAAGGACACCCCTGATCCCAGCCCCGCCTCGCACGCTGGAGCGGAGGCCGGAGTCACCGTGCTCGGGGCTGCTCAGCTTGCTGGGCCCGGCCCGGCGTCCGGAATGTGGCAAGCACAGGCTGGACAGGCCAGCCCTCGAGGGCGGGCGAGGTCGGAGCCTCGGTGAGGAGGCCCAAGGCCAGGTCACGGGAGCCGCCCCCTTCACCCGGCCTCGTCTCTAGCTATCGCCCCTCTGTCTAGGCCCTGCCCAGGAATAGGCCCCGCTCTTAGGCTCCACCCCGGAACAAACCGTTCCCCTTAGGCCCCGCCCAGGAAATAGGCTCTGCCTCCTTAGGACCACCCCTTAGGCTCCACCCAGGAGTAGGCCCCGCCCCTTAGGCCCCGCCCCGAGCGCTTCTTTACCCTGAGGTTCTCGCTCGGTGAGGCTGGACTTGGCTGGTCCCACTCTCCGCTCCCCAAAGACTGTTCAGGCCCCAGAAAAAGGGGGTGGCTCCGCACTGGAGGGGAGGGGGCCGAGGCCTGGGCTTCGCCTCCCAGCATACCTGCGTCTCACCACGCAGTTGTGACCAGCTGTGATTGAAGTTTCAGTTAATTTACGGAGGGAATGTGATTTCTCACTGTGACCCAGACCGGAGGGTGAAAGTAGCCTGCTCGGCAGAGACCCAACCAGGGCACGCGGGCAGCTCAGGTCGGGGGTCTGTCCTGCCGGCCTGGGTCCTGGGTGCAGGACTTCCCCTGTCTGGGAGGAGGACTGTTAGAACACCACAGGAGAAGTGGCTTCCAAATGGGCAAGTCCCGAGTCTGGAAGTGGACCTCCGGGTCCACGGCCGCTTCGTGGTTCACAGATCACTGTCTGCTGCTGGGTCCTCCCTGGTGGAAGGGATGTGGGAGCCCCCTGGCGTCTCTTTCCCAAGGGCGTCAATCCATTTCCTGAGGGCTCCACACTTGTGACTTCATCACCTCCTGAGACCATCACATCCAGTTGGGCTAGGTTAGGATTCCAACTTTGGAAGTTTGAGGACACACAGACATTGTGACCACAGCAAGGGATCTGACTGAGGTGATCTCCCAGCATGAACCCAGGACCTAGTCAGCATCAC